GAAATCGTTCAGGTCGGAAAGGGTTAAAATAATGAAAATTGAATAACTTCGTTGAACATGCGGACAGCCTGCATGTGTTTGTGTGAGTATAAACGTATGGATAAGAATACAAATTGGTGGCACATAAAACGTCCCTCACGATTCTCCAGCGGCACGCGAACGTATTAATTCATCGCGTAGGTACACTTTCGAGCAGCGCGGTTTGTTCGGCGTATCAATTAATCGAGCGGTGTGGAACGTTTTCGCGAGCGTTCTTGGCAAATATTTGCCGGTCTCACCGTTACTCGCTGTGAAAAAAAAAGGCGGTGATTCGATCGAAAATCCACGTGCGAAAGTACATTTTGAGACTCGTTTGGTGGAGCGATCCCGTTCGCGGGGCGAAAAGTGGAGCAACGGAATGGGCGTTCGCGCACGTTTCGTGTTCTGGCGAGAGGTAAAGTCGAGGGTGCAACGCAAACGGGGGTGGATTAACCCTAACGCCACCTATAACTGGCATTTTGAAGTGACTTGTGGATACTAATTCCAGCTACAACCTACATGAGTCAGCCGTTAGATACAAGGCTTAAAATAATAGCAAAATATCATTTTAAATCGATGTTGTTTTTATGAGAATTATATTTTGCTTTCGTATTCAGACTGTGGAAGTTTATGTAAAATACAGATTTTCAAGAAGTAATTCAGAACTGAGCAGATTTTATTTGAAATGGAAATAAGAAATAACTATTTGAAATAATTTATTTCGAAACTTTATTTCATTTGAAACAGTAGCAATTTCAAACAACGAATTATTTTGTTATTTTCCCTCTGGATCGTTAATAGCACAAGCAAAATTTCACGCCCAAATATTTCCGGAACGAAGGGATTATTATTATTAAAAAAAAACCTTTTACCATTCAACTTTAAAAATTCATAGATCACATAGTACAGACCCTGGGAAAGTATCACTGAATTTTTTCAGATTTTTTGCAATCCTACAAGGTACAAAAAAAAAATAAGTCTGGACATAATAGACCCACGTGTCCGACGACAGCAGTAAAAATAACGGGGTTCACGGAAGGTTAATTAATTTCATAATTATTAACTAATGTATCTATTAATATTTCACAAGAAAATTATACGGATCTATACATATAAAGAAGGCGTCTAGGAGTACAGTACCTCTACTTACGGCTCAGCTAAAGATGTTACCGATAATAAACTGTTGATAAAACAGTACCTATATCAAACACGCTGTAAATACATAAAATCCGCAGTCTAATGATCGCTATACGGCCGACGTCGCAGTGACGAAAGGGTTAAATGGAGAAGTAAGATGATAACGGGGAGAGTAGGAGGAGATACTACTCTCCTTGGCAGCTTCTCAGAGCCACGCGGGATCAAGGGGTCGCGATCGAGGGCGATTCTCGCTTGATGAATTAAACCGGGAGGGACGCCTGTCATCGCACGGGAAAATCTGGTATTACACGGGTGCCGAAGAAGGGTAGGGTTTTTCTTTTTTTCTTTAAAACAGGGCCAAGTCTTTTCATTCGATGCAGCCTCTTCTTTGCTACTCCGCGCGGAATTCGTGTGAAGGGAAGACTCGGGGGGCGGAATGACGGAGTTGTTTATACGGGGTGGGTCGCGATGAACGTATCATATAATTATTATCATCGTGTACATGGAAACTTTTTCTACTTTCAAAACTACTGATATCTTTCGATGGTGGATACCATTGAGACAGCGTCAATGAATTTTAATTAGATTGTGGATTTTATGTATTTCTCCTAATACAGTAAATTCTCTATGAGTGTTCGAAGGTTTCCCAGCATGTGGTCATTAGTTTATGATACATTTAATGTTCAGTGCCGAGAATCCTTCGAACAGTCATCGAGTATTTACCGTAGAACCGTACAAAATACGATAAAACAGAACGCTCCTATCAGGTTTAATAAACCTTTTATTTTATTCTTTGTTTAGTAAAATTATTCAGAGCAAACGGGAATTTCTATTTTTACTCCAGACTCGATATATTTCAGAGTGTTACTTCGCGTAAAGATTTCTTACAATATTGTACCTTTATACTTTCAAGTCTCTTTGATCCTCAGTACTTGTGCAGAAGGCAGGCGTTGGTGTTGCGTATCAGTGAACTCTTTGTGACAGCAGTTACATCACTATGGGATCAGGAATATGGGGTGTCGTTTGAGAAAAAAAGTGATTGATCTTCGAACGATCTGAAAGATGACGTTAATAGGTTGACTGCCGTAGTAATAACATTCACAATATTCTGACTACAATTAGTAGTAAAATAATAGTCCAAACAGTGATCACAAAATTCACTACGTAAATATTTATATTCTCATCTACATTAATATCCATTTTATCACAATAGTGTTACAAGTAAAACACACAGTCGAAAAGATATTATTAATTACAATTCAATAGTAAAAACATGGACAAAAACAGTCACATTTATCCTCCCATTTATTACGATTGCCCTCTTTGACACTTTTTTCTACCTTCAAACTTAATGAAGATAAAGTGTTCACTTCATCGTGACTCACCCTGTGCATGAGAGGTAGAAGAAGAAGTAGATGGAAATGACGGAGTCTCGTCTGTATTTTCGGGTAAAGAAATTCTTAACTGAGAGAAATAACGAAGAAGAGAACGGCGAAGGAAGTTGGATGGTATTGGAAAGCTGCGTTTGAGCCCTTTTCCATCCTTTACATTGGTTTCCGAGGGAATTGCGAGTGACCTGTTTACTGAAGCAGAAGTAACGCGTTCACTTCTTTACTTACTTAATTTCATACCAATTATATCATAGTGGAAATTAATATAGATCTAATTTTTTCTTCGTGATTATTTACAACTAGACTGCGGATCTTTATGCAGACTTGTATACATTTATTTACCGAACTGAAATTATTTCAAGTACTCGTTTCCTTTAGAAAAGATTCTTTTAGGTTGCAAGTGGAGTAAAGTTCATACTAATCTTCCCGAAAACTTTTACTGTATTGTCTTTTGCAAACTCCCATTTACGATAAATAGATATAATCCGCAGTCTATTTATAACCAATACAAAACTCACAGAAATATTAAATAAAATTATGTACATTCACAATCCATACTTATCGCTAATAATAATTTATGGTATCCAATATTTCTAACTTGTTTGAAGAAAAAAATCGAAGAAATCTCCACTGTAGATTTTGAAGGAGAATGATTACAAGCGAGGATTTATACTCTTCTTTTCAATTAAGGATCTCAGACCGTTGATGGTAGGACTTATTGGCTGGGAGGTTCATCTCGAACAAATACGACGAAAGAAAAATTCGGTCCGCAGCAACCGTGCCGAGATCCATTTACCGATTTGACACGACCGTATTCCACACCGTTCGGCTCTGGCTCGGCCGAGGTTACCGCACAGGTGAAAAGGCAGAGGAAAAGGGCGGATCGTTTTATAACTGATTATACGATAGACGGCCAGATACGTCGGGAGGGAAACATATTTGCGTGGTTTCGCTTGTATCGCGATGCTGTAACCCGCGTCCGACGCCTACAAGAAAGTTATTAAAGTTCAGCGCACGCGCACCTCGTCGCCGAAACGAGGCACGACGAGGACGGTGAAAAAAAACATGTGAAAGTACAGAAAAATTGCTAAATGTGATAACATGTATCGCGACTGTAAAATTGAAACAAATGGATGGAGAGTGGGAGAAAATATTCCATCGTTTGTTCTTCAATAAAAATAATCTTTTCAAAATTATTGTGTATTTTTCAATACAAATTTTACCTTTGATCAATCTAGTTTATTTTGAGAACTTTAATATGTAATTTTATTATTAGGTTTATGGAAATAAGTGGTTGATCCATCGATTCTGTATAAATATATTCATTACAATTGATTTTAATTCTGCAAACTCTAACCATGACATAGTGGATTTTATGCATTATCGTAAGTATAAATATCCAAAACTTGTTAAAGAATGTTAATCTCATTAACTGTTCCAAGGTCAAGATGACAATCTTATATACTACTGCTATTCACTAAGTATTATTCGAATGAAATTCTGCCGAACTCCGGTCGCGATGTCCAAGCATTCCCCTCACCTATACCCAAAACACACATCAACCCAAAACTTCTCATAATCCATCCAAACCACTAAACCAGAAAGCCCAAGAATCCCCGTAATCCATCCGCAAACTGTAAATCCAAATCACCAAGACTCTCCTCCCACCAACAGTCTCTACTCGAAAATCCTGCCACGCCCAAAACTACTCCTCAACGAATCCATACGTCAATCCCACCATCGGGGAAACCCACCCCTAGAAGACTTTCCAAAAATCAGTCAGAATCGCGTTATAGCACAGAAAAAATCGAAGACCACACATCATCGATCCCCTCTCAAAGCACATCGACCTGATCATGTGAATGGGACCTTAGGCTGCCCGGCAGCACCTGGTTGTGAACGCGCCAAAGCCGGGCACAGACGGTGTGCTCTGTCAATCCCCCACCATGGCCGTTAGCTACCGGAGCTCCACCAGTGCACCACCACTACAACCATCAGCCAAAGTCTCTCCTGCACACCGTCACCACCATTACAACCGCAACTGCCCCCCCCCCCACTACCTCGACCACCACCTTGCTCCTCCACCACCATCATCATCGGGGCTCTGCCACTGCCATGGAAACCGACGAATGCGCATTCTGACTTCAGTTCACCCGTCGGTCTCAACCTGCCAAGTCGCGCAGGTGTTTGCAAACGGTTCACTCGCGCGGTCCACGGCCAAATATCCCCGCGGATATAACAACCCCCCACTTAATTTATACGCTCTTATTAACTGTATCTTGCTGAACCCATCGTGCCCGGATCGTAGAACAAGGGGGCCAAAAGTAAAAAAATCCGGGATCGTTTCAACGCGGATAGAGGTGTCCCACAGGCCGGTTCTATCACGGCGGGAAAACGATCGAGTGTTAAAAAGGCGTGTTGCCGTGGCAGGGCTGCGATTTATGGAACCACCCCATGGATAGTAACATGTCGACTGCCGCCTTCATGCACCGGTATGGGAACAAACTTTTAGATCGATACTTGCCCCCCTCCATCCCTCTCTCCTCCCTGCCTTAACACACCAGTCCCGTAGACGGGTCTAGGTTCACCCTGTAGAGAGAATCTTCCTGTTGTCGACCTCGTGGGACAGAAGTGTCTGTCTATCCGGTCTCCACCTTGGTCAGTATTATTCAAAACTTGGCCCGAAGGAACGCTGGCCCCTGGTCCGATCGATCGGCCGGTTTGTTGCTATGCAGCGGACACCTCCGGGGTTCAAGTATCCCCAGGGTTACACGATGTCGTCGGTTGTTCTCCTCCAGGGGGGATACGCCTCCTCTCCCCCCCCCTGTGTACGTGTGCGTATACGCTGCATCGTGTCCGATCGGCTCGACAGACCGAAGCACACCGGGGGCTTTTTTGTCGAATGTGTTTGTTCACGGAACGGCGCGCGGGCAAAGAAACGCGCCCACTTCCTGCGTGCCCGAATCGATTTCACGGCTTTCAGAAAATTGTTTTCGTATGGTCCCGACCGGCTGTGCACCCTGTGTCGTAGTTTCATGTCTAGGAAGGAAAGTATTGGCTGGCTTAGGTGTTTCGAGGTTGTGAAATGTGTTCGAAGTCGAACAGAACCGTGGTAAACCGCGATTTAAGGCGGTTTTTTGGGGGGAGGGAACAAATTGTTCGTAAAATGGATTGGAGTGATCGTGCCTGAGTTGTATGAAGTTTTTTTTTTCTTTTTTTTGGTGGTTACGGGGAGAATGGTTGTGAAGTCGGGTTCGGTATGCTAGGTGAGGCCATATAAGCGAAGTGTGAGCGTCGGGAATATGTTTACGCGATTATGAAAGAGAAGCAACAATGGGAGTACTCGTTGCAGCAATAGAAGAGGCCGGTGTGGATGCGAAACAATTGGCTTCTGGAGTACGTTTCCATGTAGCGCGGTTATCGTCCCCGTTTCGATGGCCGGCCGGAGCATCCTTGACCGTTCCCGAGATTGATCGTACGGGGGTCTCCCGATACGCGCTACTGCAGCTCGAAAAATTTGGAGCAACTCGCGGCGGTCTCTTTGCGTAAATGAGGATTGACCGTGGTATATAGAGTACATGTCCCCAATTACTACCAGCGTCCCGAAGACTGTCACTTTATTGATTTACTTAATATAATCGTAACGTATAAAGAATTTTGTACAAAAAATTATATTATTAAATCGATACACTGATTTATATAAAAACAAACGAAAACGTGTGATTGTACGTACCTGGTATTTAGAAATTAAGGTTGCAAAATGAAAGTGCAATTTGAGCATCAAAAATCATATTAAAGAAAGATTCGTAATTTTACTATTCAACCTGTATCTATTGCAGACAATGAATTGTTAAAGTATTATGTACAGATAAGAATTACTTTAATTTTTGCGGTAACTGTCATAGGGACACGGATTGCTCGCAGACTTTAATTAATTTTCAATTAATTCTTCATGTTTAATGGATAAAACTTTGTTTATTAATGAAACGGGTGTTAAGTAACATTATTTTGCGAACTGAGACGATTTCTAGGTTAAACAGCACGTAAAATAATTAAACGCAGTTATGCTGCTATCTTAAGGTGGTAGTTAATTGGGGGAACATCTATCCTATACATTCCCGGCCATAATTATCGTGACGCCTGGTTTGTGCAGAAATGACATGATATTTTTGTAAAAATTACACGTTCTGTCCGATGTATTGAAATTTGGCTGTTCGTAAATAATAATTCGAAACATTTCAGTAAATTTTACATGTTTTTCAAAGTTTATATGATGTTCGGTGAATGTGCTGATACTTATGAATGTGAGTGTACGTAATCCGCGGACTGCGGATGATCATATAAATATGGGTTTTATGGAGGAATTTACTGATACTGGACTCGGAAAAATATTTGTTTATCCTATTATAGGATTTTATCAGGTCTTGGCAGAGGTCTACGTTTAATCTAGTTCCAAATCACATAAAGTGTGCGGTATATGTAATACACGATTTTGCAATCTACTTTAAACACCACGATTAAAAAAGAAATAGAATAACTGTTTTAATAATGAGGGATAGTAGTGCATATATGTATACATATATATTTTGATTTAAGATGTACAGTGACTCAAAATTTGACTCCAGAAGTCTACTGTACGTATTTTTTTTAAATTATTTATACAGTTTCGGTTTACATATTTCAATTGCAATATAGAAAGTGAAAACAAGAAAGAAGAAAAAATGCAGACCAAAACAGAAGTGGATGATAATCTTTCAAATTACTTTCCACTTGAAACGTTTGTGAAGGAATTCGCGAGACATCGTGTGTCTAAGTCGCAATAAAATTAGCCTAGGTAACAACTTTATTTATTAGCTGGGCAATATACGCTCTAACGTCTATATAAATTTAAATAATTCTAATATTATAAATATATAAATTTAAATATTTATAATACTATAAATATATAAATTTAAATATTTATAATATTCTCCACGATTACAACCAATAGATAATAGACGAACGTTTTCGAACGTTGTGGAACGTTCCATCCAGAGGAGGCCGCGTGCCGGTAATTCAAAGACTTTTCTAGACAGTATTCTATTAACCTGCATTTTCACGAGCGCGTCACCTGTTCAGGTTTCCCCTTCCCAGGGAACGACACGATGTCGAATCGGACCAGCCCGCTTTCCTTGAACCTGCGTATACCGCAGCCATTGACCGCAGCTCCGCTCCGTAACGAAAGGACCTGAGTGCAGTCATTCTCTACTCCTTTTCTCTCTCTTTCTCGCTCTTTCTCCCTCCCACCCTTTCAGTCGCTTCGTGCCTATCTTCGCCGTTGGTGTCCCTGCCTCATTTGAATATCAGAATGACGCACTCGATTTATCGAAGGCCACGAAAAATTCTTACAAATAGACCCGCTGGGACCCGTATGTTTTAGATTATCGAGCCCCCTTTCGTAGATAACTACGAGGATATATTTTATCCTAGTTTATTCCTTCTAGCGAATTTACGCTGTATTTCTATTTGCTGATTATGGATGTTGCGTTTAGTGGTACGTATTAGATCGTTCGAGAAATTCTTGCCGTTTCAGACACGAATGTCTTTATTACTATCTCTAACGAAGAAAGATAATATTAAATTAGAAATTTAAAAAAAAACCCGAAGGAATCTGATATTCCACACACTAATCTTCGATATCTTTAGTTTATTTGCAATATAATCGAACGAATAGTATTCACCACGAAGAACACACACTACAGAACGTTTATCAATTGAAATCACTGCAAATTTCAGTATTCTCAACACGTTAGAGTAAATGTTGTTTCTCCGTGGGACGAACAAGAACTGATTAAGGACAAGGGGAATTCCGTATTTATAAGACACGGTCCTAAAGACACAGTAAAACTTAAAATATTTTCCTAGTACATTATGGTTAACGAGTACGAAATTATCGAGAAAACCCAAACTGTTCATAATAGTCACAAAAACGACGGGCTCTGTGTCCTGAACAATACAAATCATTGGCTAAGGGCCATAAAATATATACCTGAGTCTAAATACTGTTATAAACTTCAAAAGTCATATTATTCGAATAATTCAGAGCGATACTGTACATTGTTCCCGAAACATAATTTCAATATACTTTTTACGCAAATGAATTTTTGCTTACTGTGAGAAATATAAGTGAAAACATATTTGTTACAAAAAAATATTATTAAAAGTGTGAAAAAACCTGCACTAAATTCTCCATCAAAAAAGCCGAATTACTTATTTCAGAAATAATTCTGTCCGATAAATCAACGCAAAGATTCCTGAAAGCGTCTGAAAATTGGACTACGAAGTTCTTCCTCATCAGTGTTCTCCACTGAACTCCTAAACCACAGAGAATTATACAAAAGTTTGAACAACCTCTTCGAACAGAAGTTACAGGTTAACCGTAGCAAAAGAGCAACAAAATTTTAAAGTGGATCCATAAAAAAATTCTAACAATTAGGGTACGAAGTTTCCCATCCGCGCTGTTCATCGGACCACTTCACCACTTACACCGAAGTTTCAACAACTTCTTGATAGGAAACTTTCAGATTAGCCAGTAGACATATTTCAACCGAACGTTCACCGCGTACCAAAGAAAACTCACGCTGTCTTTTTAAATCAGGAAGAATTAGAGGCATGCGTGGAAATTAAAGTATTGCGCTTTCACTAAGGAAAGTCTTCTGTTTCTACAGTTTGTTCTTTTTTTTTTTGTTCGTTTGTTCTTTCGTTTTCGTAAATTCTTTGTAATTTGTCATATGGACAATTTCGAAGTATCCATATTTTTTAAAAATTTGTCCATAAAAAGGACAAATAGAACAATCATCATACTACTTCAAATTATTCAATAGAGCTCCGCTGTTATAAAACTGCATTTTGTTAAAACAATTGCAAAATAAATATTTAAAAAATATGTTTTTTCAACTAAAATAATTTTCATTAGGTACTCTTATGTTATTACCCACAAAACTCATTTTCATCAGTTAGAATTCATTAAAAAAAAAAGGTCAACACTATATTTCAATCAGCTGTAAAATCAAGAATTAAAAAAATTTTGAAAAATCCTTCGAGGTATATTTATAGATCACTAAAGACTACAAGATATCCAAGTTCCAACAAAATCCGAAATGTTACTCCAAAAGCTGTCAGACTTCGCGTGGAATAACTGTACGGTGTTTCACTTTTTCTACGAACATTTCCATGAATCGATATAAACCCGTCGTCTACACGACTTTCTCGGCTCGGGAATGATCCGACGAAACACCTCCGTGCAACGTGGAAAAGGAAATCCTTCGCAACGATTGGCGATAACCCGACAGAGCGAAGTCGCGCCGAGCAAACAAAGGGAAGAATCGCATCGGGGAGCGAATAAACTTCTTGAGCGAAGCGAACACGCCCTACGCTAAGTTCACCTCGGTTCCGTGGCTCCGCGCGCGTATCGCCCCCGGCGAGACGCTAAAACGCGAGAGCTCCTCTGAAA